CACACACACACACACACAGTGTCTCTGTATTGTCTTTTGGGTCACTGAGAGAAGAGCACATATTAGTATTAAAAAGATAGATTAGTATGCGAGGGAGCAGCTTGGAACCATTCAGAATGCTGTGCAATTTCCCAAATGGGATCTAGTCTGGTTTCTTTCTGCTCAATTCTTGGCCCACTTCATTATTCATTATCCATCTGTAGTTCCTGAAATGCATATTGATGGGCCAAATTGGCATGCTACCTATAGACTGCATGTCACAATCTGGGATACAGGCCTTTTCCTATCATAGATGACATTACTGTGTATTTCACTAAGGAAAGTTTGTCACGTTCTGAAGCTCAACTCAATTAGCACAAGGTCAGCTGGGAACAGGATCATTTACAGAACCTTGGCATGAATAGAAAATGCTTCTTTCATTGGTACTTTCCACAGGATTTCTCCCATAAAACTAGTGAACACCTTTGGCAAATAAATAACTCCCTGTCTGACACCTTGCCTGATAGCTATACTCGGCACATTGTTGAATAGAGTAATCTCTGTTGTCACATCTGTCTTCGAATCTTGTATAGTTCTGGCACTTTGTCTGAGGAAAGCTTTTATGGTTCCATTTTGCTCTAGCCAGCCAAACAGTTCCTTAAAGTCAATAAACTGTATTTTAACAGACCAGAAGCAGCTATCTTCAAATATAGCAGTCATTGCAGTATCAGCTGACTCTGTGCAGGCAGATTATCTACTCATTGGAGCAAAGGTCAGAGTAAATGCCAAAATAGAAGAAAGGATAAAACTGAGATGAAGGGACTATAGCAGGTGAACTGCCTTTGAAAACTGGGAAATGGATCAAAGGAAACAACTTTACTTTATTAACATTTCCAAAAGAAGTTTAATTGATACAAAATGATTATTCTACAATAAAGAGGCAGAAAAAGCTCTTAAAACACCTTAACAGTGATAGACACTTAATCTCCTTGTATGGCAGGGATGTAGTAACCAAAAGCAATGTGAATTTAGAGTACAAGCTCATTTGCAAAACACCACAATAGAGAAAAATGGAAGATTATGAGCAATATTACCTCCTCAAACTTCAAAAGGCTGTTAGAGAGAAAGTGAGCCTATGGAAAGCAAGATAGAGCTAAACTAGATTATTATGAGAACAGCCTTTCATTCATGTGGACAACAAATAAACCCAAAACAAAACGGATCCTCTAGCATTTTTGTAGTGGTCTATTCCTCAACAAGAGAGGAGCCACAACATTTGGACTCAATTCACTCTTGTACCCAATATACTGTGCTAATGTTATGAAGAACAGGTAGACCTAAATGTACAGAGAAGAAATATGCACAAAACAACACAATTGTTAAAGGGTCAGTGCTCAAAATACATATCACAAAAGGTTGACAAGCTTGGAAATGATGCTTTTACCTCTTCCTGAAAGGAAGAGAGAGAGAAAGAGAAAAGAAGGAAAGAAGAGTGAGAGTGCACACACATGCGTGCAAGAGAGAGAGACAGAGAGAGGAAGGAAGGAAGACTGAGAAGACATCAGCAACTGCAGAACTATATCCCTGATTTGTTGCCATAAAATAAAATCTTTATGACACTTTCATGCATGTATTAAAGATATTTTCAGTGAAAACAGATGACAGATAGATACATAAATAGACAGACAGACGGATAGATAGATAGATGGATACATAGACAGATAGAAGATAGGTGATACAGTGAATTTTGTCTTGCCACTGGACTTTGATGACTCAAGAAGAAGTGAGGCTGATGACTTTGTGCAACTCTACCTCACTTAAATCCAATTCCTGCTCAAGTCTGTCATCGGTCCTCTTCAAAAATAACACACAAGAGCATTTGTGAAGTGCTTACTATATGTCAGGCACTGTGATAAGCACTGGAAATAAAAATACAAGCAAAACAGAAATAGAGTTCCAGGCCTCAAAGAGCTTACACTCTAGCGGGAGAAGATAGCACATAAAAGGGAGCTGACAAATGAGGCGGGGGAGAGGCTGAGCACAGAAGGTACCTACTTGGGGATAGAGTGGAGAGGTAGTCTGAGGTGCCATGGGCTGTTATGAATTTAGGAGCCAAATCTTTGACAAAATTTGTCTACAGTGGTTCATGTGTTTATAGTCACACAGTTGACCAAGAGGTACAGAGAACAAAAAATTCAGTTGTATATTTAGTGCTGCCATGAAATCACTGAGCAATCAGTGAAAGTCACTTACTTCCCTTCTCTGGGTCCCATTTTCTTCTTCTTGTGAAGGGAGAAGACTGAACTAAATAATATCTGGGTTCCTCTCAGCTCTTCCATCATATGGTTCTTAGGATTCAAATTTATTATTTCTGATAAGACTCTGAGAATGCTGGGAAAGGGGTACCTAGGCTAATTAAAAAAAAAACCTTAAGGAAAGGGTGATATAAGCTAAAAGTGGCCTGTGAACAAACTCCTAAGATAAATTGAGTAGTCTTAATTGCTTATAAAACAAATGTTTGGTTCAAATGATTATCACATACCATAGAAAATCAAATGGATAGCATTTATTTGGTGCTATAATCATAAATCAAAGGATGACAGATTTAGAGTAAGAAGGAATCTCACACATCATTGATTCCAACCTATCAATTTTATGGATGACAAAACTGAGGCCAAAAGATGTTCAGGGACTTACTCGAGGTCACAGAATTAGTATTTGAACTCCAGTCTTCTGAACCCAAACCCAGATCTTTTCCCACTACACCCTACTCACTCTAGAAATATTTAGACTCACAGTCCTAGAGCAGGGATAGTGAACCTACGACTTCAAGGTCACATGTGGCCCTCTAGGTCCTCAAGTGCAGCCCTTTGAATCCAAACTTCACAGAACAAATCCCCTTTACAAAAGGATTTGTTCTGTAAAACTTGGACTCAGTCAAAATACCGCACCCAAGGACCCAGAAGGCTATATGTGACTTTGAGGCCACAGCTTCCCCACCCTTGTCCTAGAATCTTAGACTCACAGAACCCCAGAGTGGGAAGGGATCACAGAGACAACCTTTACTTCACCTTCTCCCTCATCACCACCAAAAAAAGGAAAAAAGAAAATACTCTGCATTTGTTTTATTGTGGAAATGTTATTTGGGAAACATTTGCTAATGTGGTCATCAACAAAATGTCCTGAAGGAAATGGATATTAATGGCATATGCAGACCTTTAACAGAATTTTAATTTAACTCCCAACACAACCATGGCAACTTAATCTAGTATACCAACTTCAGCTGCTATTTTCATTCTGGAAAGATCTGAGTCACTAAGAGCACAGTGCATTTTCAAACTCCCATATCCAAAGGAGTTAATTAATGATAGAATAATTAGAGAATCGTAGACCAGCTCTAAAACAATCACCTTGACAAGAGTAATCCTTCATCCCTATGGGAAACTTTGTTAAAGACTGCATTTGAGAGGCAGCATTGTATAGTGGATAGCATTCTGGCCTTAGAGTCAGGAAGACCTGGTTTGATTTCTATTCAGATACTTATGACCTCAGTTTCCTTATCTGGAAAATAAAGGGGTTAGACTTGATGGCTTCTAAGATCACTTCCTACACATCTATAACCTGTATCAAGATGCTTGCCTTTTCAATGAGGGTGGGTGGGGAGGGAGGAAGAGAGAAAATTTGTAACCCAAAGTTTTAAAAACACATGTTAAAAATTAAAAAAAAATTTAAAAAAAGATCACTTTCAACTCTATATCCATGACAGGCACACAGGTACATAATAAACATTTTTGATTGATTACCTGCAGCAGCCTTTCTGCAGTTCTGACTCTATCTCAGTTCAAATTAGTTTGACCATGTTTAATACTCAGATCGGCCAGATAGAGAAGACCATTCTCTTCAAAAAGGCACAACAGAGAAATGAAATTTAACTTGAAAGTGAAAATCAAACAGCATTTATTAAATGCCTGCTACATGAAAAGGGCTAAGAGGGACACAAAGATGAGCCAGACTCAGTCCTGCCCTCATTAAACTTAGTCTATCAGGGGAGAGAGGTACAATATATGTACATATAAGTATAATATAAAACAGAATGTGGTAAGCGCATACGTGAGTTACAAAGCTACAAGGAGGGAAAGACCATTTCAAATGAATTAGGAAAGGCATCAGGCAGAAGGTAACATTTGATCAGGTCCACAAAGACCAACCTCTTCATTTAAGAGATTGAGTGACTTACCCAAACTCACACAGGCAATACAGTGAGAGGAAGAAGGAAAGAGAGCAAAACATATACTAAGTAACTACTATGTGCCAGGCAATGTGCTAAGCTCTTTACAAATATCATCTCATCTAATCTTCAAAACAATCCTGCAAAGTAGATGCTATTATTATCCCCATTTTAGAGTTGAGGAAACTGAGGCAGCAGTCAAATGACTTACCCAGGTCACATAGCTAGTGAGTATTTGAGGCGGGAATATGAAATTAGATCTTCCTGACTGCAAGTCTAACACTATCCACTGTCCCACCTAGCTACCTAGTGGGCTACATCTAATATAGTCACCTCTGTCTCCTCTGAAGCTTTTTCTGTAGCTGCTGACAAGTACCTAAACTGACCCAAGCCCCATCTGTGTCTTCTGGAGTCTCCTCTGATACCTTTGATTCTCTACCATCTCCTCCTTCCTTCCCTGCCCCTAGATGCTCATGTACCTCACCCACCTGCACATGCCTTCATATTTTCATTGAGCTATTTTCCCCCACACACAAAATCTGCCTTACTGGCACCACAACAACAGTGCCTCAAAGAGAAGAGACTGTTTCTAACACTGCTCTTGTCTTTGCCAGAGTATCCAATACAGTCCTGGGCACATAATGGTATTGAGCAAAGCCTCTATGCACAGGGGGAGAGAGGTGTGGGTCATCTCCTACAAAACTGTTAGCCCACTTGGGTCAGTAGATGGCGTACTTGTCCATTAAATCACTATCACTAGCCTATGGAGAAGTAAAGTACTGTATTCACAAACCTATATCACAGAGATTTCCGATCCAGCCGTCCTCACAGATACATTGCCAGGGCAGGGAACAACTTCCATGTAGACAGCCAGGAAAGGGCATACACTCATTGCACAGGGGTCCCTGCCAACCAGGTCGACATCTGCAAGAGTCCAAGAGTTTACTGGAGGTAAAAGTAGTCAGGTCATTATCTGATGTAATTAAACTGAAATTCTACCCAGCTCAGGAATTAGGAAGAAAAAAAGTAGAAGAGATCACTGGTAAAGACAGAAGGAAGAGAAAATGAGAAGACCTAAGTAGATCATAGAACCATAGAGGAAAAAAAATCAAGGATCAGAACCCCTAATTGTCACTGCAAGTAGAATATAAGTTCCTTGAGGTCAGGGCTGCCTCATTTTTGTGTCTGAAATCATAGCACTTATTTAGCACAGTGCCCGACACAGTAAATGTTTAATAAATGCTTGTTGGCTGGTTGATGAAGATAAATGGAGATCCCAAGAGATAGTGAGGCTGGAAAACTGGTACTTGGCACAAGTCCCAGCCATGAGGGAGAAAATGGAAAGCAAATACCTATCATCTGGCACCCTGTTCTGGGTCTGTCCAAGGGCAGCTTCCTTCTCCTCTCCCTGGTCCTCTCAATACCCCCTCTCAAAACATAACTATGACCTCTCCTCTTGGACTCCTGACTCATTCTTACCTATAAGACTCCCAAAACACTATTTTCTCTAATCTGTTTTGATTTTTAAGTAAAATAAAGACAACTTCTATTTTGAAAGCACAAATAAAAAAGTAGAGGGGGAAATATAGTTCTGCTCTTCAAAAAATGTCACATTCTTGTTCCAGCAATTCTGGAAAGCAATCTGGAATGCTTTTTTTTTTTTTAAGCTACTAAAATTTCCATACCCATTGACCCAGAAATCACTAGTAAGTGTATGCCCGCAGAAAGCCAAAGATAAAGATGAATTTCCCATGTACACAGAAATATTCATAACAATGCTATTTGGGTAGAAAACTGGAAAAAGTAGAAGCCTATTGAGGAATGGCTAAAAAAAATGATACATGAATCAAATGGAAGAAGAAAAGATGAATGTGAACAATTTAGATAAGAATGGAAAAAATATATGAACACTGTGAAGAACCAGGGAAACAACCTGCATAATGACTACAACAATGTAACTAAGGAAGAACAAAAACTGCAACTGAGAAGCTGTATCATTATAATGATCAAATATGTCTCCAGAGGAAAAGTGAGAAAATGCACCTCCCTCCCTTCTTTGCAGAGCTGGGGTGCTATGGGTACGGAATATTGTACATATTGTCAGATTTGATTGAGATATTGGTTAGTTTTGCTCAACTGTATTCCTTTCTTTTTAAATCATTGTTACAAGGAATAACTCCATTGTTAGAGGAAGGGGAAGTATATAAATTAAAGTGAGCAAAAAAAAAGTGAAAAACTTTTAAAAGAAAAAAAGGCACATTCTCAGAATACTTAAATGCTTCAGGAACCAATGATTTTAATCGATGTGGGCTCTGCCTCCAACTATATAGGTAAGAATCCCATTACTCCCTTGATGGGGTTGTCCCGCTAAAAAATTCATCAGCTGGTGCCCAATTGTATGGTGATAAGCCTCTCTACTAGGCTGGTTCTTAAAGGACAGCCGCACACTTCTGCTAGAAGACCTTACTATTCAGCTTGAAAAGACCAACCCAAGCTTTAATTCTGTGGGCATACCTTCAAAATCCAAGGGTCACATCCACACTAAAATGAGGCAGTGCAGATGGGTGTGGGGGGAAAGAGCTTTCAACCCATAAGAAGCTTAAAATCTCCGGTTTAACCAAGGCAAAATGCCAAAAGAGGAAAGCTTTTTTTTTTAAGTGAAGAACTTGTGCATACCTAATAGCTCTTTGTCTACTATTCCAGCCCACGCCTGGAATCATTAAACTGCCAATCCTAGTTGCCAGAAAGGGGGGCAGGGAGCAGTTTGAGAGTAGCAGCTTTGGGACTCCCCCACTCTAGTGGGCTGTACAACCCTCAATGGTAAATCCACCTGCCAATCACTAATCAATAGATCAACAAGCATTTATTAAGTGTCTTCTATGTGCTGGGCACTGTGCCAAGTGCTGGGAATACAAAGACACAAATAAAACAATCTCTGACCTCAAAAATCTAACATGCTATCAAAAGAAACAACATAGACATATATAAGTACACGCAAAACATATCACCAAGCCAATAGGGACTGGCCTCATGGACAGCTTGCTCCAAAGGCATACCCTGCTCAGTGAGGATAGTGGGGTGTCTAGTGGGAGGGAAGGGAAAGGGGGGGAAGCCTCCTAGAAAATCTTTGAGCTTTATTTCAATCTTAGCAATACATCCAATATTATCCCAAATAACCCACCCACCTCTCAGTCCCTTTCTCCTCACCTGCACTGGTCCTTGTCACAGATCCCTCTGTCCGGGTGACAGTCGACCTCACATTCCAGGCCTAAAATACAGAATACAGAAAGTACCCTTAAACTCCAGAACACAAAAAAGAGATAAAGAACTGGCATTTTTATCGGAGGATCCTTGATGGTACTCCTTAAGGCCGCAGAAAGATTACCTTTGAGTTTTAAAGAGGTCAAATAGTCTCTAAACAGAATCAGAGAAAACCTTTTTTTTTAAGCTAGTAAAAAAATAAAAGGTTAACTAACTTTTTTAAATCCTTGATTGGCCCTCAAAGGTGCTACAAATGTCATTATGTCACTGTAAAATCCATAATCTAAGTGATGGGCCTTCTTCCACTGGGCTCCCAGTATGACTTAGCTGTGCAACAATAGCAATAGTCTAGGAACCTGAAAATCTAAGTTACAGTCCCAGGCCACACATCATTTCTAGCTCCTGGGATCCTCAGTTTTCTCATCTGTAAAATGGAGATCAAATGGAGGTCTGCAAAATCTGTGCATTGCCTGGATCACAATTCTGCTGTGATCTGTTTTGTTTGAGGGAGTTCTCTTACATCCATGAGTGGTCTGTACACAATATGCTCCTACTATTTGGAAAACACCCCAAACCTGACTCCTTCAGATAGAATCCAGGATACTAAGCTATAGATAGCTATGTACCATAGAGATCTCAAAGCACCTAGAGCTGTGGGGAGGAAGAAAGCTGTTCACAATCAGACAAAAACGGTTTGCCCAAAGACCTAGGACTTACATTGCATCCACCTTCTGCTCGAAGTCAGAACGTTTTATGTCAGGAATCTGAGATGTTTGCAAAGTTTTAGGGTCTTAGGGCTGTGTGTCCCAGGGGAGCTGTCCAAGCCCCAAAGCTTCAGGCCCTCGGCCCTGGGCCTTGAGCTCCCTCTTAGCCACCATCCCTCCTGGCAGTGCCTAGACCTTTCGCCCTTTCCCATCCTTCCCTAGGAGACTTTCTCTTGGACAAAAATAATGCCCTCCCAGGAGAAGAGTAGCGCCCTCCCAGAAGGGAGCCCTCCAGACCAGCAGGAGATAAGGGGAGCACTGCGCCAAAGGAGTACTGGGGCCGGATGGGCACGTCCTTAGGAAAAAACAGAGGAAAGAGCACTTTCCCCTCGGGACACGCAGATTCCGTACCTAAGGAATAGTGGGGTGGGATCTAAAGGAGGGGAAGGAAAAGAGCCTGGGGGAGATGCCTTACCTAGAGCAGAGAAGAAGAAAAAAGGTGGCCCAAGAACGCACAACAGCAGCAAGGATCGCGGGGCGAACATCGCAGCACCAGGGGTGTTGCTTGGCCAAGAGCTGCGGGGGGGAAAAGAGTATCCGGTGAGTCTGAATACTCCACCTCCTCGAGTAGCCTGAACAGCGGCCACCCTCTTTCTCAGATGCTTTTCCCAACAAGGGGTTGGTGCCGTCCAGTCTCCTGGGACCACCCCTGCGGGAGGACACACTCAGCTTCCAGTGCAGTCCTCGTAAAACCTCCCTCCCGTGCCGCCTTTGATCTCCGGGGTCCTTCCACGTCCGCCCCAGGGTGCAGTGGAGCGCCCAGCCTAGCCGACCAAGTCTGCCTGCACTGAGAGGAACGTGGAGCAGAGAGAGGTGGGGGAGCCGCACCCGCCGCCGCAACCGCCCCCGCCCAGCCCCAGCTTACATTCCCTTCTCCTCCCTCGGTCCCGGGACTCGTGGGTGGCTGCGCTACCTCAGTTTGGAGAAGCGGGAAGATCCATATGGCCCAGTCCGGACTGAGTGCCCCAGGACCTTAAAGCTCTTCCTGTTCAATACTTTTATTTTAAAAATCAAAATATTGAAAATTTAGAGCTCAGAGACTATGTATTCCAACAGATGAGCAAACAGAGGCCCCAGAATTAAGTGCTTGCCCAAAGTCCCATAGGCACGCAGCAGCAGAGTACGAATTCACCTGAGTGTGAACTCCACTTCCCAACCAGGTCTTCTCTAGAGTCAGAGAGAAGCCCCAGACTGCAGCGGGACCAGGTGGGATCTGTTTCTTGAGCATCTGTGTGCCCCTTCCTGCCTCCCACATCTTCTTCATGTATCTTGCACTTGGTGCCCAGTCACTTCCTGTGAATCCTTAGGAATATGGATTCTAGTCTGGGACGAAAGCTGGAGTGTATATACACCTTACTAGCTGTTAACCCGGAGTTCTCTTCCCTTCTCCCAATTACCTGGAGCCCTGAAGACAAGTGCTTATGTTTTCAGGGTCAGTTTTATGGATCTGCTCTGGGAAAATTTGATTTGTAAGCATCTTCCTACCTTGATTTTTGATTCTTTGCTCTCCTTAGTGCCCACCCATAGCTATCTTCTGCTGCTGAAATCTCACCTAATACTCTTGTCCCTCCCCTTCTCACAATCTAGGCCCACAGTGGTACCTCTGGGTACTTTATCCTTCCCCTGATCTTCTCCCAGGCAAAACTTCTGTTTCCTAGATGATCTGAACAACTGAGGTATGTTGGGATAACTGGGATTTAATGTGGCGCACATAACAGAGATTTCTACTTTGAAAGAGGATCCCAAAAAGCAAGGCTAAAACAACTGGAATTACTTTCCAGTTAAGTTTGATAACTTCAGGCACCTTCCAGGCAGGTGAAGGTGGGATGGGAAAGAGGTATTTTGGAGTAGGAATCATGGAAAATTCGAGCTGGAAGGGGCCCCAACATAGAATGTCAGAGCTGGAAAGGAGCTGAAATTCTGTAATTGCATAATAGTAATTTACTTGAGTTCCCAAGCCAGGGGTGATTGCATTGCAGACTGTGCTCTTTTAGAACCAATTCTAAGAGTAAGAGACCTCAGACTATCAGGTACCAACAAAGAGAGAGAGAGAGAATATCTGGGTGTGATTCTGGGAGAGAAATGAAAAAAAAACCTCTTTTCTTAAAAAAAAAAAATCTTTTCCATGTGTCCTGTGGGTAACTGATCTCAATGCCTTTTTCAAGTGCCCAGATAGGAGATATATGTGTGTGTGTGTGTGTGTGTGTGTGTGTGTGTGTGTACTCTACAGCCCTTTAGTTAATAAAGCATTATCCTTAAAAATAATTATTAAGCACTAACTGCTATGTGTAAAGCACTACTGTTCCAAGTGGATACAAAGAGAAGCATAAGATTGGCCCTACTCTCAGGAACTTTTTTTTTTAGGCAATTGGGGTTAAGTGACTTGCCCAGGGTCACACAACTAGTAAGTGTCAAGTGTTTGATCTGAGGCCAGATTTGAACTCAGGTCCTGAATTCAAGTCCTGACTCCTGACTTCAGGGCCGGTGCACTGGCCCACCTTGCTGCCCCTAGGAGCTCTTATTCTAATAAGGGGACAACAGATTTCAGGGGCAAGTCAAATGATACTGTCCATGTACCTTGGCTGCAGCACCAAAGCAGGTGCTAATGCTTCTTTAATGCCATTTCCACTGATAAAATCAAAGCAGTTCCTGATGTTGAACCATTTAACAATTATCAGCTTTGGTGACAAGAACCTTTTTTTTTCCCGGGTCTTCAGTAGCTGTAGCTGTAGCTGGAGCGCCTGCAGGAGCAGATGCCAGGCTGCATCCCCACAGGGGTTGCTTCCCAAGATGATGGCTGGCGGTACTGGGCTGAAAGCATTGCTATTCCCAATGCTCTTGGATTCAGGGTCCTGAGCTGTCTCCATCAGAGAGATATACACCAGAGAGATATACTTCAGAGCCCCAAGTCTTCATTTGTAAGTGGAATTTATTCTCATGGGGGATGGGGCATGCACCTTAATGGGAAAGAAAGCAGGAGAGTTGGGTAAATAGGCTTCACAATTTGACAGCACATTCATTCATTAGCTCAACCAGAGATGTCACTTGAGTATGAAGTAATGGGAACAAAAGTATTTATAGGTATAAATTTGTCCAAATCCTCATAGGGAAGAATCATAGACCATCTGCGTTACAGCCAAAAGGAAATATGTGCCCCTCCTTACTGCTCTCCCACACACACACCCAGTTTGACACTGGGGAGGATCAGTTTTAGTGATTTCCATCCTACCTCCCCCTTCTCACTTCTCCTTGAAAGCTTCAAAAAAGGAGAAATAGATTGGATTAGAGTCGAGGAACGAAGGCTCATCTGGCCTGGTTCATTTTCTGAACTTGCTATGTTCCTTACACCTCCATGAGACATGGAGCAAAATAGGCTTCTTACCAATGGAAGTCAAAACTAGATTTCTCATTTTGTTGCTTGTCATTGGAGTTGTAATTGATGTCAAGTTCACAAGTCTATAATTACACAGTCACCATTCCAATTATTTTTAAAGGTCACTATTTGGCCCAGCTGCTAATACCAAGTGTTAGGAGATCCTCTGAAAAGTGTTAACATGTCTTAAAAAGAAAACTCATTAGAAAGAGAGAGAAAATAGAAAGAGATCAGCAACCTAATCATTCCTTGGCCACCTAATATATTTTTAATATAGATCTGATAACACTTCATTTATCTGGCATCATTGGGAAATGTCCTGTTCCACAAAAGTAAAGCTTCCAAATAACCTAAGCTAACATGTTTAAACAGTATGGATACATGCATGTTTAAGAAATTTGAATGTAAACCTTAATAAAATCTGTCACATTTCCCTGCCTTATTTAACATATCAAGCATCACAACTTTTTCGTTAAGAATCAGTATTATTATTGTGACCTTGAAGCTTTACTACCTTCTGTACCTCAAAGTGTACTTCAAAATATGATCAAGAACAGTCAAATTCCTCAAAAGTGATAATTGAACAAAAACAGAAGAATGCAGAATGACTAAAAGATCATTAAGGTCATCAAGTGCAACCCCATTATTTTGCAGTAGGTTAAGAGACTTAAAATAATAGAATGTCAGTGAATAGGGGCATAAAAGAGTCTCCCAGATTAAGATTATACTTTCTTTGGCATTAATAAGATAAGCATTCTCAGACCCTCGGACCTAAGTCTGTATTTATGTTATAGTGAAAAAAGCTGCCAACTTTTGAGAGAATTGGATTCTTCTTGGTATTATCACCACTATCTAGATCAGGGTGGAGAACCTGTGGCCTTGAGGGCACATATAACCCTCGAAGTCCTCAAGTGTGGTCCTTAGACTGAATCCAAATTTCACAAACTTCACAAAGTTTGGATTCAGTCAAAGGGCCACACCTGAGGACTTACAGGGCCACATGTGGCCTCCATGCTGCAGGTTCCCCACCCCTGATCTAGCCTATGACCTTCAGCAAATGACTTAATATCCATGAGCCTCATTTTTTTTCTGGAAAAAATCTGGGGAAAATGGGTTATACCCAATGACTTCTAAAGCCCTTACAGCCCTGACATTCTATGATTATGATTGTATCGTTGTCATTCAGCTGTTTCAATCATGTCCAACTCTTTGTGACCCTGTTTGGGGTTTTCTTGGCAAAGATACTGGAGTGGTTTGCCATTTCCTTCTCCAACTCAATTTACAGATGAGGAAAGTGAGGCAAACAGGATTAAATGACTTGCCCAGGGTCGCACAGCTAGTAAGTGTCTGAAGCCAGATTTGAACTCAGGAAGATGAGTCTTCCTGAATCTGGGCCCTGCCCGTTATCCACTGTGACAGATTATGATTGTACTTAAGCATTTATGAGTGAATATTACATTAGTATCCAGCCAGGGGAAATTAAAATGGGCAACTGACTAACTTATTTTCCTCTCTACCCATTCTTCATTCTCAACCCTATTATCTAAAGGTTGCCAGTTGCCACAAACTAGGAATCACAAAAGATGTTCAGAGTTTTAAATATTCTCTTCAGCCCTTCTGACTGTCACTGCACAAGTATGTCGCTACTTTTAGACCAAAGCTTTCAGCATAGTTACTGTGTGAACCCCCACCTTGTCTATCTCTCTTCTTGGCAGTTTGCGCCTCCACATTTTCAAGCATTGGTTCTTATGGTGACGCTCTTTGCATGCCTTCTCTCTGGAGGCCTTACCTTGATGCTTAGAAGAGCCACTCACTCAATGCACAAAGAGGGATTCACCAGAATCAAGTATTTGATTCTCTTAGTACACAAACAATGACTTCTGACAATTTGGTTTTAGTTGTTCCAAGTTCAACCACCAGCCTACCTGCCTCAAAACCAAAAGCCCTAGTTGGCTGCTTGCACTTTAATTTGTCATGATCCACTTTAAAATAAGATTTTATTGATGTTTTTATATCACTTGTATTTCCCACTGTAAGCCTTCCTCCACCCCCTCCCAAAGAGCATCCCTTATGTAAAAGAAGGGGGAAAAGTTCAGAAAAGTTAACATACAG